TAGATAGATAGATAGATAGGTAGATGGATAGATAGGGATAGCGAGCGAGAGAGAGAAAGACGAAGAGGAAGAGAGAGAGAGAGAGAGAGAGAGAGAGAGAGAGAGAGAGAGAGAGACAGTGTGTGTCTATCTATCTGTTATACTCTAGTACAACTTTGGGGCTCAAAATTGTTCATACATTTCGTAATGTTTAAATTTGATAATGATAGACCAAAAACAGATTCAACTTATACTCTGACTGTTAGCATGACACCTTTTATATTAAGCCGGAAATTAGTTTCCTCAAGTTTCTAATCCTATTTACTGCTTCTTTCAGTCAGCTGTCGAACAAAGACTGCTTTATCATATTGTCCTGCTTGCTGGGCAGAAACTATAAAATATTTACAAGCGTGCTTGATTGATTGATTGATTGATTTTTATACCCTACACCGCCCTACACCTAAAAGAGTATGTTAAGTTTTTGCGATTGTGCCCAAATGGATATCTTTCATTATATCGATCGATTTGACAGAACAAATTTCTGAATCGATCAAAATTTCTCTGTCCTTCTTGTATTCTTTCGTTTACCCTATAAGTCATCGTTTTTGAAATATTATGATAAAATTTGCAATATGGTATTGAAAATGTTTTAAATCGGGAACCTTTTTCAAGCACTTCTCATATGATGCCTTATTAAAAAGTCCTTATACCTAATGTTAAGACCAACAGTTGTATCTTTTTTTAAATCTTTGTATTATTTCAAATCTACTGTGTCGCTTTTAAAGTAATCCTCCTTAGGTACTATACACTTATGCCGGCGTTTTTCCAAATTCTCGAAACAGTTGCTATAATCGATTTTCGAAATATTGGTCTTAATTTTTGATCACAATATTATGAATGACTGTATTAAGCGAAGTGACATGGGCTGGTGGACCCTGCTCCCCTCGCATGTTTTTTACTTGTTTTGTATTAATCTCAACGCGGTGAATTTGCAAAGACAGTTTGTATTGGTATTTTTGTATAGAAACTTGCAAGCAAAGATTTGTTTCGAAAATGCACAGTCCCGGAAATATTCATATTAATACTCAGTTTCATTTTAGATGAAATGATAACTTCGAGAGGCATCGTGATTGGCATATGACGAGATGACATATTGATATTGTCTCAAACAACGCCTCCCAAATTCGATCTATTTAGAATCATTGATGTGAATAATCATCAAGCATCATTTTCTCTATTTTTTTCATTAACTTCGGTCAGAGAATTAGATACATGCAACGTAATCAATATAGGTTTTGATTAGTGTTGTGTGCTGATCATAAGAAGATCGAGATGCCTAATTGACACTCAACGACAGTGCGAAACATCGAATAGAATGATTTATTGGATAATTATATAATAAAACCTTTACCTCTCTACTACAAAGCCTCATAGATTCCAAATTCAGCTTCAATATGAGGGCTTCTTGCCCATAATTCGGGCAGCCAGTGTTCAGCGTTACGGAATAGAAAAGATGCGATTGACATTTTGAAGACAAATTTAAAAATTCGAAAAAACAATACAATCAGTTAGCCCCTGCAGTTATCATTGTCAAACTTGCGAATAGTGCGCATGTCGACTATTCCCAGAGCTTACATTCACTCTTAAATAGATCAAGAAAATTGAAATGTAGTGATTCATAATAGATTCGATATTGCAACAGGTAAGATCCGTTATCCACAAAAAGACTGAAACGAAAGAAAAGAACAAAATTTTCATACTCTATGATGTGGGATGGGCGCGGTTAGTTTTTTCTATCTTTAGAATGAAAGTGCAAATTAAGATGGAGTACGTGCTGTGGTCTATGACTAATAAGTAAGAAACACAAAGCAAAGAGGTTCAGAGTTTGTGTTGCATAGGCGTGTAGGCGTTTTTGGTAATTTTCAAATCCTTTAGCAAATTTTTTGTCGATATTTTCATTTTTGCGAACGAGGCAACGCTTACCACAGATACTACACAGTTGAGCAGACGTCCAACTGAAAAGATGAATACACGGATAGGTTTAGGTGTATCCCAAATTTGAAACTGGAAGAAAGCTTGTTTCTGTGCATTTTAAAGGTATTGATAAAAATTCAATTTTATAATATCGGTTAGGCGGGGTCGATTCGTTTGTTGGTGGCTCACGTACTACAGCATCGCCCATGAAATAGAAATGCAAGTAGTTTGTAGATTTATCTGCCGTAGTTTATCAATAATGGATAAAAAATGAATTTCTTACTCCTCTCGAAAAAGAGACGTTTCCTCACTTTACGTAGTACTGTAAACACATTTTCCGACCGGTTTGGTCCATTTTCAATACTAACGTGCGTGAACGAATTTAAAATGTTTCTGTCAAGTTTAAAGTTGATTGCGTCATTTTTTCAGTCAGGCGAATGTTTACAACAGATGGACAGATGGACAGATGGACGTGCTTAAATCGATTCAGAATTCGATACTGATAGAAGAATTTATATACTTGATGGGATCTCTGAAGCTTGCCTCTGCACGTTTCAAACGTTTTCACGAAATGCCTTATCCTTCGGTAGTGAATATAAAAATATAGAATCAATTTGCGGAAACGCCCACTATGAAGAAATCCAACTTTTGCTGTTAAGAATCAAAACTCTATTGGTATTTAGATGGGATTTAGGAAAGCAAATATGACAAGTGGCCATGTCCAAACTCCATATTCTTTCGAAGGGATTGTAGTTTTTCCTCATTTCAGTTTTGACAAATGATTTGCGTAGCTAACCCAATTAGATCTTAAATACTAAGAAGATGAGCAGACCCTCAAAAATATATGACCCCAAGATATTTATTAAGGATATTACAACAAATTTGTAATATTTGCATAACGCGGCGAATCGCATTAGAGTGCCCATCAGATCGTTATATAATCTTGGTTAGCATTTCTCGATTTAGCTTTGTGCGCCTATGCAACCGCCCACGTTATCTTATCATTAAAGCAGATATTACAAAAAGATGGTTTAAAGTTTTGAATGGTTTACCCTACAATAAGCAAATGACTTTAGCTCACATTGAAAACTTTGCTGGAAGAGTAAAGATAACCTGCTTACATGGCACAATCTAGAAAAGATGACAAGCTATAGCTAAATATTAATAAAAGACTTTTCTTGAGCTATCATCAAAATCATAATAAACAAGTAAGAAAATAGTATTCGGTCGAGATCGAGTCTTTTATACCCATCATCGCTTAATACTGATCAATAATGTATTGACTTTGCATGCTCTTTGAAGCTGCTTTCTGAATGCTGAAAACGTTTCGATAAAAAAATGAGTAGGCATGGCCGAATTTTTCTATTTTTGTACACGCGTTGCAGGATCACCCATAGGATATATGATAAATGTAAATTGTTATTGTTGCATCTGTTGTGATTTATGTAAGTAACGCGTATAAAATCTATTCTTTTTTTCGTGATATCAGATTACATTGTACTGCGGTCGTATCCTTTGACCAACTTCACATCATTTTAATATCAATCTGCGTGCAACAACTTCAAAGCTTTGGGTTGAATTATTGAGACGAGGAGAATGTTTAGCACAGGCATTATCCAGGCGTACATACACTTAAATTTTAGATTTAGATTTTGATGTTAATCACGAATTTATATACCTCATAGGTACTATGCTATGAATATATCCCTTATGGCTCGAAGCATAGATAGAAAAATTATTAGATATCAGTGCAAAAGAAGTGCCGATTCATCGACTGACACGAACTAAGCAAAGTTCCGGTTACTTTTTTAAATTTTACACGCGAGCAGTAATTTTATTATGATTTATACTCGATGCGGGATAAAGGCTTAACTAGTAGTACTGATCTCCTCTACTAAACTTCAGAGGTTTTTCCGCTTACATTCAATTGCTTTGCTATTCTCTACTATATTAAATGATTCTAAAAATACATTAGAATTGCAATTGGCGCACGTGGGCGTGGCATTAAGGCTTTTGAACTTATTCAAGTTCAAGAATTTTACCATTAGTAGCATATATGAACTACGCTTCCGTTATTTAGCAACTGGTTCAGTAGACAAAACCAACTGTGATAGAGGAATGCACTTCTTTTAGACGTTCCATTAAAATGTATCCCTTAGAATAAACATGTATACTTATTAATTAATAGGATACTGTTTCTAATCTCACACTCAAAAGGCAAAACTATGAATATCTCTTCATTTTACAGGTTATATATAAGCTTAAACTATGTTTGTAATAAAGGAGCAGAGATATAAATATCGCTTTTAAATAATTTTCATGCACTGTCTCAAGCTGATACGATTAAAAATATTTTTACTCTTGCCAAGTTGTTTGTTTGTTAGTTAACATTAAACAATTGCTGCTGCCTCGGTTAATGTTTTGTTCTCTGTTTGTTGTTGTGTTACTGTTACTACCGGTGCTGGTTAAACTGCTGCCGTTGTCGATATTGCCGCTGCGCTTAAAAAGAAAAAAACAAAATAAAACAGAACAAAAAAGTAAAAAAGAAAAAGCCACATTTAAGTCAACATACACAACTTGAAGCTCATGCGCCGCACGATTTCTGCATAATGTTTTAGTATCAAACAAGACTTGAAACGTTAAGGTAGACAGCGTTAAACACAATACCGCAAACGAGAAAAGATCAAACAAAGTGATTGTGTGCGCGGTTGTTTGTTGTTAAACGAAATTTGAAAAATAGAAAAAAAATAAAAATAAAAATAAAAAACCTATCCACACAACAGGTGTGTTTTGTGAGCGGTAAAAGAAGAGGTGACTTACAAACAAACAAACAAAAAAAATATTTCATACATTTCATACTCATACATAATACAATGAAAAGCAAAAATATGTAAAGCAAAAAAAAAAAAAAGTTTCAAAACAAATTCAATAAATAATGCATAATGATATAAAATATAAAATAGAATATTAATAGTAATAGTAATCGAAGAAAAAGTTGAATAAAAATTAAAAAAGAAAAATAAAAAAAAATACGTACAATAGTGTGTGTGTGTGTGTGTGTGTGCATTTTTTGTGGTTATTGCTTAACTTTTTGTTGATTTTTCTTGGTCTTGCGCAGGCGCGCATTTATCATATTATGTCGATATTTTGTTCATTGTGTATTACAACAACAAGCAATGATAAAAAAGCTTTTACTATTGTTATTTTTTTTTTTTTCATTTTTTCTTTTTTATTATAAATGTGAGTATTTGCGCACTTGTGTATGTGCTGAAGTCTTTCGTTTTTTGGTTTGTAATTATTATTATAATGAATTCACTTAAACGTATTGTAATCATTTTTTTTTTTTTTCTGATTTTGTTATTTGTTTTTGTCTTTCAAGCAATTGCTATCAGGTTCGTGGCATGTTTTAAGTAAATAAATAAAAGAGACAATTGAAAAACAAAAATTTTTAAACTAATTTAAAAGGTTAATGAATAATCAAATTATGTCTGATACGAAAGTCACACGGAATTAACAATGAAAGTCATAGACTTTACAAAGTAAATCATATTCAGAAAAATGAATTAAAAATTTAAATATTAACCTCAACAGACAGAAACTTGGCTTTATTTACAAGTTCAAGTGTATTGACTTATGGTTACGATTGTAAATATAATGAATATGACAATCCCAATATGACAATGTAATAATGTGTGCAAGTGTGTGTGTGTGTGTGTGTGTGTGTATGTGAGTGTGTGTATGTGAAAATGACATAACATAACATTGCGAGCATATATTCATGCGAGTATTACTTAAACCAAAGCTTTATTACAGCGAAATAAGAAAGAAAACTATATTCTTGGCTTATGGTGATGAACTTTATGTACTCGTTACTTAAGTGAATAAATAAAAAATTTCATAGCACTTTATTACACGTGATCGTGCCAAGTCAACTAATATCTATTTGATGGAACATTTCTCCATTCAAGTCGTATTACATATATATATATATATATACATATATATATAATTCATATCGATCTTTGCTATTCGATCTAGTAGGAAGGTAAGGACAAACGCAAACTCTCAGAGTCCTTAGTAAAAGTAAAGTTTTAGCCCGATTTGTTCACTTCTGTCTTTATGCGTTGTTTATATCTCATCAGCAAGTCGTTACGTTGTGCGTGCAGAATTAGATGTAGAGTAAAGGCAAAGACAAATAATTCAATGTACAGATAAGACGTGAAATTTGAATTGAGAGAAAGAATAGTGATGACATTGGCGCACCCATGTGTCTTTTTTTCAAAACTAGTGAAAAAAAAAAATTTAACTCAACAATAATCAAAATTAATCAGACAATTAGCATTACATGCAAGTTGACTTAGAGTGTAACTTACAAGAGATCTGATATACGATAACTCGGTCAGAACGAAAGAAACTCCATTGATCCATCTCTTTCGACGGTGAACACAATAAGATGATGTTTAAATAAGTTTAGCTGACACAAATATTATGTAACGCAAGCAGATAATACTATTATACTTGAGCCATTACTAAATCAAAGGTCAGTCAGTTAGTTAGTTAATTATTAATAAAAAAAAAAAAAAAAAAAAAAAAAAGGCTAGCCAACCAACTAGTCAGCTATCCACTCAGTCATTCAACTAGTCATCCATCCAGTCATGTAGTTTATCATCGCGGCAACAACGGTGGCCGCGGCAACACTCATTCATTCTAACCAACCAACAAACCAAACAACCAACCAGCCAACCAACCGCAGGCAGAGCAATACAAATAAAGTAAAAATATGCTGACAACTACTTGAAAAGCTAACATACTTATTTGTACATATATGCTATGCTGTTTATTTTCATATATGTATGTGTTAGCGTTTCTTTATTACAATAAAATTTTTAAATAAATGTCCAGGCGCATATAACCAGATTTATTGGCATTTCTTGATTAAAAATGTGTTTGCGTTTTATCGATTACTACTAACAAACCATTTTTTTGTTTTTTCCTTTTCTTTCATATCGATGGCGTACTAGCTTTGTTAGAACGTTAGCTACTTAATCGGCCACTCATTCATTTTCAATGAGGACTTTTTCAAGTCTCAAAATTCTGTTATTTATTTATTAATAATTCCGATTTTATAATCTGATAGTAAAACTTGCTAGCAAACATGTGAATGTGAATGTAAAATATTTAAATAATTAAACGATCGATAAAAACAATTTCATAATCATGTCATATCAATAAATTCGTTTAATCATTCATTAATTTATTCATTTGCAATCTATCTAAGAATACTAAGCGTACGTATATATATATATATATATATGTTCTAAGGAAGTTGTATAAAAAATTCCAATTATTTTCCGAATAAAATTTCTTATTAAAATTACATTTTTAAATAATTAATTAAAACTTCTCTACCCATTCTCTCTCTTCATTTTTATACTTTTCTATCACATTGCTCGCTCTTTTGTTTTTGTGCCCCATATCCAAATGCTGATAAAATTTATAATACAACAAAATAAACACTGAATTTTATAAAGAAAATGCAACGTTCCAGCTTGCTTATATATACAGTATATTTGAGGCAAAAAAAAGGAATGAGGAGAAGAAGAAGAAGAGAAAAAACGAAAGAAGGTCACAGTTCGAAGCACTGAAGTCGGCCATCCCTCGCATATCCCGCTATCAAAGAATTGCGAGCCGGTAATTGTGTAGTGAATCCATTCATAAACTGCATAAAGGCGTGGAGTGTGTTATGATATCGGCCTTCACCTTTTCAGCACCAGAAAACACACTATATTTCGTAACATGTAAACATAGAGAGAGAGAGAGAGAGAGAGAGAGAAAAAGCTTTGATCAAATGGCCATTTTTAGCGTGCATGCAATTAAAGGCTTTCCTTAAATCTAAAGACATTAAAACATAGCTTCTGCTAAGATTACCAGCGAAAGAGATCGTTGAGGAAAATAACTTACGCTTGATCAAAGAAACAACAAAAAAAAAAAGAAGAAAACATTAAAAATCAATTATTTAACAATACATATATATATATATATATATATATTATGTATTAGATTAGACTTTAGTTCTTCACATATCCTAATGCACTCTACTTTCGCCTGCTTACATAGTCTACTTTCCTTCTTTACTTATACCCTAAACGATGTGTGATGAAGATTTATTAGCCTTCATAAGGTTATGCGGATTACATGCAACATTCTAAATGGCTTGTATATATATATATATGTATGTATGTGTGCGTGTAAAAGAGACACACTTTTAACTTCGCGACACTTTACCGTCGTCGTTTCAGTATCATTTTCAGAATCAATTTAAACAATGTCTGTCCGTGCGTTTTTATGGTCAGTGTATATATTTAGAAAAATTTCATGGGCTGAAGTGGATTGGCTTGAATTATTCTCGTGACTACTAGACTCCATTAATAATTCTCGACAAGAATATTAGTAAACAAACAAAAGGTCTTCTTGGACATATTTAACTTAATATGATTACCACTTTTTGCTCACCCCCTCTGGTTTAAGACTTTACGCGACAACAATATTTATATTTTAATATTTCATAATAAAAGTTCATGCAAAATATGGTTGCAATTATATAAATTCATTCCTTTTTTTTGGATAAAAAAAAAACTGGCATGTTGGTGTTTTAATACGTAATGGATGTTGATCTACTTTTTCAAATTTTCAACGATTTGTCAAATAATGACGGTTATCTGAAAACATTTTGCATAGATTGAGAAAAAAGCCAGCATATAAGAAACTAGGCCGGTACAAAAATGACCCGAGTAGTATACTTGAAGACTTGTTATATTGTTCCTATCAAAATCAGATTGTTTGTTGCTTTATGTCCATGACCGGTTAAATTAATATTGGGTCGAAATACTTACACCTCGTGTGCTTGTGTGCACTCCTTTAAAATGTCCCAAGATACTTGATGTTAAAGACAAGTGATTTTATGAAGGCTTCTTTCAAGGCTTCTATCGATAAAATGTCCGCCGTATCATTCCAATTCTGTTTCGCTTCAAGTATCTCGTAATCCATTAAGTTACCTATAGTCTGTTTAGCTTTTTGCTTATGTCCGTATGACTACTTATGATAAAAAAAAATGTTTTCCTTAGATTACTAGATTACTAAGCAATAAGATCATTAAACACATCGGACAATGCAGCCTAACTCATAGTTCAATTGACATTAGACGTCGAATATTTACAAGTTTAGTAACGTGTCCGCGGTAATTGACCCACCGTATTGAAAATAAAGATCGAAAGAAAAATTCGGAAAATTGTTTAAAAAGAAAGAAAAGTAAAACAAATGCTCGCATAAAGATTGAATGAAACATTATTAAACATTTATATGTATAAATTGCAAAATGGGCATAATGGGCATGGCTTTAAATTTAAGTTAAATTATAAGATATATGTATAGATATAATTAGCCAAGTCACGTTTCTAGATCATAATTAGCATTTAAATCGAATTGAAATTTTTTTTATAAAATCAAAGTCAAGTTTAGAGAAAATCTATGCTAAGCTTTGCTAAGTGAAATGCTCAGTGCACACGCTTCCATTGTATGGCAATTCATTTAATATAAAGATTTTAAAGCTTGATAAAATACTCTGTTGAATTGAGTATGGATTTCATTTTTTGTTTATAATGCACACACACACACATGTATATATATATATATATATATATATATAATATTTGATATGGATATACAACCTGTTGTCTTTATTATTTATATTATATTATATAAATCTACGGTATATGCGCCACAAACAGAAAACAATAATAAATCTTTTTCTTCTGTTTTTTTTTCTTTTATCGAGATATCTGCGCAAAACAAAAACACATATGAGCTGCATAAATATGATCGTTTCGATCTTTTTATTTCCATCAGCTGAAACGTGGAATACATTTTGTGGAATACATTAATTTTGCTACAATGCCTGCAACACTTATAAAAGACAAATTAAATGTCTAAGTATTCTTAATCGGTATTAGAATCGGAGACGAATTTAAACTCTTTCGATTTACGACGTGTGAACTTTTATGAATTCTTATATTATTTATTCTACTAGGACATGCTCCTATTCGGGATGACATTGTAATCCGAATTAGCCATATCGGTTATTTGTTCTTTTTGTCCACCCATTATCCATTTATCAGTGGCTAAATTCTGCATTTAATATATAAATCTCAAATAATAAAAGCAATTAAGAAAGTTATACTGAGTGATCGAAGGTGAGTGCAACTCGACTAGCAACTCAATGGTCGTGGGATCGAATCTCTCGAATCGCGGCAGAGTTTTTAATAAAAATAGATAGCCTTAGGATGCTAGTGCTTTAAGAGTTTAGCTTTAGAATTTATTTCTCTGACGAAATTAATAATAATAATAATATATTCGGCGGCGGCCGAATCTCGCATACCCATCACTATGCTTTTCGCATTCTACAATCCAAGTTCTCTTATTTGATACTCATATCGCTGGTACTATTAAGGAAAAATTAATCGCGGTGTCTACCATATTCAATTTAAAATCAACCCATTTTTAGGCAGATAATATATCTTCCTTTGAAGAATATATATATAATATAGTTTTAAACGTTCGATCCTGTTTGTCTTATGATAAGTAAGTATAAAATCTCAAAAATGTAAAAAGAACAAAATTTTGAATCACTAGTAACTGTGTGTAGGCGTGACAGGTATTTTCCATTTGTGCACGCAAGGAGTAGAGTGCTTTGTATAGTAAATATAGAAAATTTTATCCTTCTAACTTAAATAATTTCCGAGTAACGAGTAAAAATCCAAAAATTATGTTAAAAAAGACTTAGTTGCGTTCAGTTTATGCTCTACTGCGCGCTTCTGCTCCGACCGATTTGGCCCATTTTCAATATCAACCCGCGTGTAGAAATTTTCAATGTGTTTACGAAATTTAAAGTAGATATCTTCAGTTTTGCAGCCAAGAGATTGCCAATAACACATACCATATAGACGGACAGACATGGCTAAAGTAACTCAGAATTTCACGCTGATCAAG